CATTGGTGAATGCCACAAATTCTCCTAAATCACTCGTACGCACAATTTAAGAACAAATCTGTGCGTACGAACGGTTCTTGCATGAGGCCCAATGTTTCCAGACAACTGATGGATACCAGTAATGTGCGTTTATATTTAGTAAACAATCCTTAAATTATTCTTTACACCCATCTGGGTATTGTTTACAAAATAGATGACACAATGGCCATAGAATGACAACATGAGTTGGATGACAAAAAATAAATGACAGACATTGTATCTTTCTTATTAGCAGTTACCTCCCAGGTTTTTGACACAATGCTTGTTATGGTTGATTAAAAAATTAAGATACAAATCTTGACTGGCATGAGATGGCGCTTGATATTTTTTTTCTTTTTATTTTTTTCTCTGGTGCACTTCTGCCTGTAAGCATATTTGTTTTTATCTGGGTATGTATTTCTACTGGGAACACCAGCTGGATGGAGTGATTTGAAAAGGTTTTTTTCTTTTTTTTCTTCTTTTTTTCTGTAGTGTTCAACAGACATCTTACAACCCAACACGTCACAATGCCCGGCATATATTTGTCACTTTTACTTTGGCTTTTTCACTGTGAGATTTTTTTTTCCCAGTCATTGTTAAACTGTTTGTCGCAGTAGCTCTTCTGTAAGGCATCATTAAGGTTTTATTTGCTATTGATGGAAGATCATGTTTACCTTCCTCTGCTGCATTTGCCTTCATGACGGATAAATTCACCTCCACTGGCCTTGAACAACTTACTCATATTGATTCCTTTTCTTTGAGACTTCTTTTTAGAAATTCTCTTGTGAAAAAAGTGTCTCTATTCCAAGAAAAGTGTAGGCAATGTCTTCGTGCTTTCAGCTCTCTTTTTCATTCTGCTTGAATTTTGTTGTTATTAGCGTTTTATCAATTATGCAATGAGAAGAAAGGTCAATTTTATGTAGGAATTAATTACCTTTTAACTCCCCATTAGGAGCTGCCATTGTCTTCCTTTTGTGATGGATAATCCCAAGCCAGAAATAGTTAGTATTCAAAAACAGCATACAGTTTGCTCATCAGTTTAAAAGAATGAAATACCCTATATTTGATAGTATGTTCTATGCTGATATTCGTAGCTCAAAATTCAGATATTAGGGAGAATTGTTCTAACTAAAATACAAAGGCATTAAATGTCATTCAGACTTAAATATTATTTCCTTGGTTTTGCAACAGCCATGAACTGAAAAAGTCACTATTCGCTCTCTGTTCTCCTTCATCACTATCTCTTTTTCAGCTGACAGCTTCAATTTTTATCTGTTTTTTTTTTTTTGCATCTTTGCTCCCAAAGTACCTCTAAGGTAAATGTCAAAGACATTACAAGGAACAATTACATTTTAAAAGTGCTTCAACACAAAAAAGAGTTAATAACTGCGTACACACAGTGACAGAATGCTATATGGATTCTTTCCATTTGTTAATTTATTAACTTTTTTATTACTTTGTGCATGTGAAGCCTTTTTGGAAACACAAGACTCCATCACTTTGTGCTCTTTTGCGGCCTGTCTCTGTTTAAAATCTACAATGACATTGTTCTATTGATTGTGCTATGACAGGACATAGTGTCAGGATTGGAAGGAATCAGAAAAAAATAAATTTTTAAAACGTAGCCCAACGATTGAGAAGGCCCCCGACAGCTTTAAATCTCTGCAATTGTAAAACATTTCTGCTGCTGCAGCAACACTGACTTTTTAAGACTTTTGATCTATAAACAGACAGGAGCTCAGATCCAGTCGAAGCCCACAGAGACGCCGATGCCCACAGGGTCGTTTTGACGGACCATTATCACGTTTGCTCTTACATACATGATAAACAAATGTACTTTTTCCTAAGTGCCATCGTCTGCTTTTTAAATTCTTGCAAGCATTTTCTTTTAACACAACACAAGCACAAACATTACACGCACACATCTTGGTAGAAATGATTTCATAAGAAAGCCAATGACCACAATATGACTAATCACAACATATTGTGTGTGGATCTAGACCAGAAGCAATGTTTGCAAGCTTGTATTTATGTCATCCCTTTTTACCAACACAATGTTTAAGGGAGCCAATACATAAGCAGTGAAGCACTTTTATTATTATTTTCCCATGATTCTGTTTCTGTCCCAATTTTTGATTAGCCACTCCTCCCACAGTTTTAGAAAGGCTCCTACACAAAATGCATCAGATGTGTGTTATGACTTTTGGTTGCAGAACATTATACCAGGAAGATTAAATTTGCAAAAACACAAATGCAAAACATATTCATGTAGACAACAATTGGATTTTGACAAAACAAATGAAAAAAATAAAAATAAAAAATCAACCTTTTTAGACTTTTTGTAGCTCAGGCATTCTCAGCGGATGAAACGTCTTTCCAAGTTTAAATGGGTCTTGATAAATTCGACTTCACATGGTATTTTTATGCGTTTTACATTTTTTGCACAGCCACAATTTAGTTTTTATATTTTTTAAGTTTAACCATAAAGGTTTCATGTATCGTGACAATAGAATACGTTGCGTGTTTATGTGGCTGACTTTTCCAAAATCATTGGAAATTAAATATTTTTAATAATTGTTTATTTTCTACATAACACTGAAAACATGGTTTTGTTCTTCTAGCATGTCTGTCACTTGAACGCGACCTACAGTGTTCTGACTTCCATTGTTTTTGAGCTCAACATTTCTGAGAATTTCATAAAATCAGTGCAGTGGTCCATGGGATATTTTGCTATTGCATTAAGCAAATTAACACACACGTAAAAAATATGGTCATTGGTGGTGATAATAAAATCGGTAACCAAACAACCTCATAGATGAGGGCTGCAGAAAAAAAGCAATAAAAACAATGACATGTCTTTTGTTATGTTTACTTTTTACACTCAGGCTGACAGGGATGAATATTCCAGCACCAATCATCAGCAACAAAAACTGGCTAAGGCTTCATTTTGTAACGGAGAGCAACCACCGCCACAAAGGCTTCAGGGCTCAGTATCAAGGTAAGGCACTTCATTTGCATGACTTAATAAAAGACCCCCGACTTAAACAGAAAGGATCATCATAAGAGACGCACACTAAAGGCTAATTAGAAAACATGGTTTTGATCTTGTTTAACTGAATATTTATCAGTTTGACTAACACCGTCTGTAGAAGGCATGAAGGATTTTTCTGTTTAAACCAAGACCTTGTTAATCAAATATTGGCTAGGTAAATTATGGATATAATTTACCCTTTAGACAAAAACTAATTATTCTCAGTCAAATTAAAAGTCATTACACTGATGTTGTTCACCCATTTTACTTTAATTCAAGCTTATGCTGCAAACAGGCATCTTTAAAGTTAGATATAAAACCCTAAATTTTACCAAAAACAGCGTATTTCTAAGTAGCTTACTGTAAACCCCCTGTGGACTAAGAAATGTACAAGACAACTTCCTCTCATCTCTTTACTGGGCAGCGGTGAAGCAGTTTTGCCTGTTAAATAGCAGAGAAGTACACTTTGCGGATTGTCTTCACCTTTGAACAAATAAAACTGTCATGTAGTAAATAAATTATTTAACATCCTAATTGTGTGTAAAACAGCTTGACTTAATTGTTTGACCGACAGAGCTGTGCAGAGGTGAGACAGTGTCCCAGCACTTTCCAACTCTGATCCCTTTGTTTGTGCTTGATTCAGCGTTCATTGCTTTTAGCTGTTCTGTTGATGATGACATCTACTTGCATCCATTAGCTTTTGTCTCTAATCTGGCCCCTGCTGTGTTTGATTAGACCCTATTGAGACATGCGGTGTTGCAGTCTTTGGGATGCTCTTTGATTCTGCATGGGATTTCCCTTAACCTTCTAATTATACATATTTATTATTTTATATTATATATTTATTTATATACATATTTTTTATTATTTTGTAGAAGAGCTTCTAAAGAAGGATGCACGTTTGGTATTTTTTATACATAGCCTTTAGCCGTCATTTCATACATAGCCATTTAATACATTTATTTTGGGTTTAACAGCCAATATAGCCAAGTTATTAAAAGAGAAAGAAACATTTGCACTGTATCTTCTCACATCTAATACTGTACCTTCTTTAATCTAATGAACTCTTTCCATTGCTTTCGACCAGTGAAAAGCTCTGGAGAGCTTAAATCCAGAGGCGTAAAATTATTACCAGGAAAGGACAACACTAACAAACTGTCTTTGAGTAAGTCTTTTATTTTATATGGAACTGTTTTTGTTGTTTTTATATATAAATATTATTTTTGTTTATTCAAGGCTTGTGTTCTGGCTCTTTGTTTCTTTCTCTCTGTTACTTTGCTGCATCGTTTGCTAAAAGAAATTAAGCTACAGTACTAGATTTTGCAGAAGTGCAGTCTCTTTTTCTTTCTGATGCCCTATTTTCCCCTGCTGTCCCTGACTTCCCATCTTGTCTGGAATGAACTTGTCTAAATCAGACCTAGCTATGTTTGTTGCAGCAGCAAGATAAATTTGACAAGCGTAAGTTGGCCTAAACTCCCCGCCCCCGGTCTCAGTCTGTACTATTTAGGTAATGGATTGACTTATGTGTGCGAAACGCATGCATGGCAGTAGTCAAGGTTGAGTGACCACTCACTTGTCAGGTGATTTGTGTACACTTCAAACAAAACAGAATGCATTCTAATAGCTTGAGGAGCTGTGTCATTACCATAAATCTGGAGCACAATTCCCTTTAACTCAGCAGAGTGCTAAAGACTCGGATGATAACAGGTTGTAATCTTTATTACCTTATGCCTCATAGATTCAGCACTCCATGGAAACATGAATAATGCAGAGGGCTGTAATCTTCTCCATGAGACAATGCTGTATATCATTAAAACACTATGAGGGGGATGCTTCTGATGCCTTGAGGATTTATTTTCTATAACTGAACTCATAATTGCATTATAACTCGCAAAAATTAGGTTCAGAGCTTATGAACTTTCTGAAAGAAGTCAACAAGAAGACTCGTGCCGGTAAAGCGTCTCGCTTCAAAAGCAGGGAATCCTCCATGTAATTGTATAAACCTTGAGTAAAACTAAAACATGATTATAAAATGCTGTTTCATACGTTAAATTTACCCAGTTTTACACACCATAGTTTAGGGACGGACATGTTATTTAAAAGGAAACCCTGACTAGTTGTAACATTAGACATTATTTGACAAACATTTACTTCAACTGTGAAACAAAGACTGCATGATACTGTAGGCTGCTTTGTTTTTATATAATTGTTAAAATATATTGTCACACTATGTGGCTGTAGAATGTAGTAGAAGTTACCCAGCCTTTAACTGAAAATGCAGATGAAAGGCAAGAGTTTAGCCTGATAGCTTTAGTGTTAGCTCCCGAGCTAACACACAATCACACCTAAATGGTAAATAAACCATTTTTAGGTACTGTTATTTATATATATATGTTACAGTATCTAAAAA